GCAGTGAGGTGCAGTCCAGCACCTGCTACAAGTGGCGAGTTGTTCACAGTAATGGGAGGCGCATCAGAGTAAGGAAAGTTAAGAGTGAAGATCTGAAGGTAGGAAATCGCTTCTCTGTTCTCCAGGATGAATGTACTTCAGTGGCCAGTGATGGTAAGGGTACTACTGCCCCTGCTAATGAAGGTAAGCGCATTCTTGTGGTTGGTGACTCTCAGGTAAGATATGTTGACCGTGCTTTTTGTAATAGGAATAAGAAGATGAGAGATAGAGTGTGCTTCCCTGGAGCTGGTGTTGGGGACATTGTCAACAGCTGGATAATATCATGTCAGGTAATGGGAACAAGCCCATTATCTGTCTCAGTGCTGGTGGAAATGATATTGGGAAGGGTAGGAGAGAAGAGCTGCTAGATAAGTACAGGTCAGCTATAGATTTCATTAAGTCTAAGGGAGGGATCCCAATCATATGTAGCATCTTGCCTAGAAGGGGAGTAGGAAATGAATGGTTGTCTAGGGCAATTGGTGTAAATTGCTGGCTAGACAGATACTGTAAGGAACTTGCAATCCCATTCATTGACAACTGGAACAACTTTTATGGCAAACATGATATGTATGCAAGGGATGGGTACATCTCTCTGGGGCAGGGTGGTAGCACTTGCAGACTCGATTGAGAAGGCCATTGGTGAAAATGCCTATGATTTTAAACTGATGGAAGATAGAGGTATGGGTGTGTGTGGGAAACAAGCAGGTTGCAACACTAGGGTTGGAAACAGTAAATGTATAAAAGGCATTCAGCATGAAGTTATAAATAAAGACAATAGAACAGGTCAGCAAACAAAGGGGGACAGCAGAGGGCAGCAAGGGACTAGCTCCCTTAAGGTTTACTATACTAATAGCAGGAGTGTTAGAAATAAGATAGATGAGCTAAGATTAATTGCAAGTGCAGGAAACATAGATATTATTGCTATAACAGAGACCTGGCTCAATCTGAAAGATAGAGAGATGCCCTCTGAATGTCACATACAAGGCTATAAATTATTCCACACTGACAGGGTCAACAGGAAAGGTGGTGGAGTAGCGATGTATGTCAGAGACAATTTAAATTGTTGTGTTAGACAAGATATTAAATTAGAAGCGTCAGCCACTGAATCTGTTTGGTTACAGCTTCTCGAGGGCCGAGAAAAACTAATTTTGGGTGTGATTTACAGGGCCCCAAATCTTGATAGGGAGTGCAGTAAACTTCTATGGGACGAAATTCGTAAGGCATCTACACACGAAAATGTTGTGCTAATGGGAGATTTCAACTATAGACAGATTGACTGGAGCAATTTGACAGGAAATTTAGAGTCGGGTGACTTTCTTGATACGATCCAGGATTGTTTTTTAAAACAGTTTGTGACAGAGCCAACTAGGGGAAATAACCTCCTTGACTTGGTTCTTGCCAGTAGGGAAACACTAATTAATAATCTTGAGGTTAATGATGAGCTTGGGGAGAGTGATCACAAATCACTCAGTTTTAACATATCATGGAATTCCCCTAATAATGGCAATCAAGTCTTCGTCCCTGACTTTCGCTTGGCTGATTTCATAGGACTGAAAAATTACTTAGGTGGGCTGAACTGGAATGACCTGACTAAGGGTCAGGTAGGTGGTGATGGTTGCCGATATGATGCTTTCCAGGGCATAGTTCTAGCTGCTCAGTCAAATTATGTTCCAAATAGGGAAATCAGATCAAACAAAAATGATCCTAAATGGATGAACAATAGATTAAAATATCTGATTGGTCAAAAGAGAGGCATATATAGGCAAATCAAAAGAGGAGAGGGGCAATTAAGAAATCGATATATTCAGTTAAAGAGAGAAATAAAAAAGGGAATTAGAAAAGCAAAAAGAGATTATGAGGTTAAAGTTGCAAGAGAATCGAAGACTAACCCAAAAGGATTCTTTCAGGTATACAGAAGTAAGATCAGGGACAAGATAGGCCACTCAAAAGTTCCTCGGGTCAGCTCACTGACAGTGATAAGGAAATGTGTAGAATTTTTAACACATACTTCCTCTCAGTTTTTACACAGGAGGATACCAGCGATATTCCAGTAATGATAAATTATGTAGAACAGGACGATAATAAACTGTGCACTATTAGGGTCACAAGTGACATGGTCCTTAGGCAAATAGATAAATTAAAACCTAACAAATCCCCAGGCCCTGATGAACTGTATGCAAGGGTTCTAAAGGAATGTAAAGAGGAGCTTAGCACACCTTTGGCTAATCTTTTCAACATATCACTACAAACTGGCATGGTGCCAGATAAGTGGAAAATGGCAAATGTGATACCTATTTTCAAAACAGGTGACAGGTCCTTAGCTTCGAACTATAGACCAATAAGCCTAACCTCCATAGTGGGAAAAATTTATGGAATCAATAATTGCCGAGGCAGTTCGTAGCCACCTTGAAAGCATAAATTAATCAACGAATCTCAGCATGGTTTTACAAAGGGGCGTTCCTGCCTTACGAATTTATTAACTTTTTTCACTAAGGTATTTGAGGAGGTAGATCATGGTAATGAATATGATATTGTGTATATGGACTTCAGTAAGGCTTTTGACAGGGTCCCACATCAGAGACTATTGAGGAAAATTAAAGCACATGGAATAGGAGGAGAAATTTTTTCCTGGATAGAGGCATGGTTGACAAAATAGGCAGCAGAGAGTTTGCATAAATGGGGAGAAATCAGAGTGGGGAAGTGTCACGAGCGGTGTTCCACAGGGGTCAGTGTTGGGCCCCCTGCTGTTCACAATCTACATAAACGACATAGATGAGGGCATAAAGAGCGACATCGGCAAGTTTGCCGATGACACCAAAATAGGCCGTCGAATTCATTCTGACGAGGACATTCGAGCACTCCAGGAAGATTTGAATAGACTGATGCAGTGGTCGGAGAAGTGGCAGATGCAGTTTAATATAGACAAATGCAAAGTTCTAAATGTTGGACAGGACAATAACCATGCCACATATAAACTAAATAATGTAGATCTTAATATTACGGATTGCGAAAAAGATTTAGGAGTTCTGGTTAGCAGTAATCTGAAACCAAGACAACAGTGCATAAGTGTTCGCAATAAAGCTAATAGAATCCTTGGCTTCATATCAAGAAGCATAAATAATAGGAGTCCTCAGGTTGTTCTTCAACTCTATACATCCTTGGTTAGGCCTCATTTAGATTATGCTGCACAGTTTTGGTCACCGTATTACAGAATGGATATAAATTCTCTGGAAAATGTACAAAGGAGGATGACAAAGATGATCCCATGTATCAGAAACCTTCCTATGAGGATAGACTAAGGGCCCTGAAACTGCACTCTCTAGAAAGACGTAGAATTAGGGGGATATGATTGAGGTGTATAAGTGGAAGACAGGAATAAATAAAGGGGATGTAAATAGTGTGCTGAAAATATCTAGCCTAGACAGGACTCGCAGCAATGGTTTTTAAGTTGGAAAAATTCAGATTCAGGAAGGATATAGGAAAGTACTGGTTTGGTAATAGAGTTGTGGATGAGTGGAACAAACTCCCAAGTACCGTTATAGAGGCCAGAACGTTGTGTAGCTTTAAAAATAGGTTGGATAAATACATGAGTAGATGTGGGTGGGTGTGAGTTAGACCTGATAGCTTGTGCTAACAGGTCGGTTGCCGTGTTCCTCCCTTAAGTCAATGTGACCTGACCTGTCTAGGTTGGGTGCATTGGCTTAAGCCGGTAGGAGACTTGGACCTGCCTCGCATGGGCCAGTAGGCCTTCTGCAGTGTTCCTTCGTTCTTATGTTCTTATGTTCTTATATGGTAATATAGTTCTGAGACACTTGTGCAGTACAAATCGTGAGTACTTTACTATGATGAGATATACTCTTGAATACGAATTATACAAATATATACAAATGTATGACTGTGTATGTGTGCTCAAAGTGCTCTTAATGTCTCAGTAAGACTTGACTCCAAATAGACTTAAATAGTGACTCACAATAAGTCTTCAAATAATCTATCTTCTCGAACATCAAGGCAATCAAAACAGCTAGCTTGTACAAAATGACGAAACATTCGCCAAACAGCAATAATGTACCAAGCAGCAGCACAGCGTCAAGAACAAGGAGACAAAATAACGACACCAACTGAGCAACATCAGCAGATCCTCCTTAAAAGGTATAAAGCTCCCTTAATACTAAATCTAAGTTCAGCATAACCAAATCCCCGACTACGACAGTGCGTAGATCCCACACAAAATAGGTCAGAAGCTTCAGCTTGGTATCAGGGTTGAAGAGTGTCTCCACACAACACAACCTATGCAAAACGTCAAAACCACTAAGTCTGAACGAGAGGTACGTTTTGAACTCGCCAGCGAAACCATACTCTACCAAAACAGGTCTAAATAACGAACAAACAGCCAGAGATGGGAGAGATGTTTCTCGGAATAGAAGCAGATGGAGAGACATGCTCCCCAGACCAGGAGCAGATGGAGAGAGCGGTGCTTGTCGAGCGATGACCAGCTACAGAGAGAGCGATTTCTCGATTACAGGCCCCACATCTGGTACTGCAGAGATGCCAGCAAGTAAACAAGCGAGCTGATAGTTAGCTAAGCAGTTTATCAATGCAGATAGCTAACCATAACTCTTGAACAGTGAGCAAGGTGAAGTGTAAATGTTACATCTTACCTAATGACATAGCTAAGTCAAATAATAGTATAAAGCAAGATATTTTCATTTTAGCTATTAATGAAAATATCAACAATATAAAATTATATGAAAGATAGTATACATCAAATATACATTGTGTCTGTGAGGGAAAAGTTCATTAGATAGGAGTGGTGGAAGTATGAATGGTGCTGGTAGTTTGTTGGGCAGTCTACTGGTTCATTTAGGGTGGGTGCATAGTTCCTGTTACCCTTCTTTTCTGCACCCGGTGGGAGGTGACGAGTGTGTTACCAACCTGTGGTTCGTCACTTGACTTGCAGCTCCCGTCAAATCTTGATTATCGGCTCGGGTCATCCGGTTCATGCGGGATAAAGATAAGGGCAGCATCTATCTTGCGAAGATAAAGAGACGTCACCTAGATCTCTCTACCTACACTGGTCTACCTTCCGCACGTAACCAACCACCCAGTCAGCTATACTCCATTCAAGCAGCCTTCTTCTTTTTATGACCCGAGTCTTTGGTAAGATGGGTAAGGATAGAAATATTGGAAAAGGGTGGGAGGGGGGAGAGAGGTAGGATATAAAAGGTATGTGGCCCAACTACTTTGGTGCAATTTAAAAAGTGTATGTGAAATAATAGAAAATTCTTGAAGGGGTATAATACTAACCCATCAGAGTTACATAGATATAACAGATATATAGGTACATGACTCTGAATTATTGGTAGTATATATACAAGTTGCAATTGCTTTTAACTACACCAGCGTTCATGGTGGTTCTTGACTGGTTACTTAACTGCTTCAACATTATTGTGGTGGTTACCCCTCAAGGAAGGTTCCTTGATGTTGGTGAGGGGCTCTTGATTTAGGGAATTGGATCTGTGCTCCAGTTCCCCGAATTAAGCCTGAATGTCTTCCACATCCCCCCCCCCCAGACGCTGTATAATCTTCCGGGTTTAGCGCTTCCCCCTTAATAATAATAATAATAATAATAATAATTGTGGTAGTTAGAGGATCACAATCAACCTCTGGTCAACAGAATATTTACTAATGTTGGGGACACTGTCTACAGTCACGACCTGCTGTGCACTATCATATGCACTAACTATCATAGAATAGAGTTGGGAAAATATTACACTATCATAGAATAGAATTGACAGAAAATTATCATTGATGAAAAAAGGAGAACATAGAAGTGTATAGAGATGCCAACACTTATGTATAAGTGCGAAGCACGGTCCTTGAATGTTCCAGCGAGGAAGCTACAGGCATTGATATTACTAAGTATGAGATTAATATGTAGTGGGAATATTGTACAGATATTCTAACAAGATGTGAATAAATTAGATGGAGTGATGGGATGAAGGGTATAATTCAGGGAGAAGACGGGGATGTTCCAATGGATCGGTAAATTAGAACGTATAGAGCAAAATAAGATACTTTGATCAAGAGAATGTATAAATCTATGGTGATTGGAAGGTGGTATAATAGACGAACATTACGGTAAAGGTTTTAGAGAGGGCATGGAGAGTTCGAGAGGCAGACATAATAATTTAGCACCGATTACGGTAATGAGAACACATTCCAGACATCATATACTGCACACCATTTCAAACTTGAAACACACTTCCAGACTAAGAGAATATTTATCCTGCTTGTTCATATTGGATCTAGTATTAATACTCACATCCAAAAAAAAGTTTGATTAAGCTTGATTCAATAGCATTGCATTCAACAAAACTATTTGAAAAAGACTAATGATTTCGAAAATCAACAGTTCACACTGTAATAATGTTGGTAGAATTACGGACAACATGTTAGGTAAAAGGACACAAGTACAACTAATGCGACATTTTATTGTGGCAACGTTTCGGTTTGACAAAGCTCCTGGAGAGCAAAACGTTACCATAATAAACTGTCGCATTATTTGCACCTGTGTCCTTTTATCTAACAACAGTTCACACTGTAAGAAGTCGCGTGTAAGAGTTAATACAGTATACAACTACTATATTGCACTAGAGGTCTATATTCAGAGAACTTTTATTGTACGTGTAAGTACAATAAAATACCTAAATTACTGTGAACGGTTGAAGTCCCTTGACATGTCATCATTGAAGGCTCTTGGCTCATATAATGACTCCAACAACATGCTCATTGGGGAAGCCAGGTATAGATACTCAAAAATTAGGGACAAAGGAATGAATGTACAATTGCTATGGATCCCATCACACATTGGATTACTCCTTCATGATAAAATTGATATGTTAGCCAAGAAGAGTACCCAGAAGGAGAATGTAGAATATAACTTTGGTATAACTGTGTCTAGCATTAGGAATAATATTAGGAGAGAAGTAAATAATGAAAATGATTGTTATAGGAATGCAGTTAGAAGCCTGAGTAGATCTATAACCCACTATGATAACATGAACGTAGATAAGTATGTTTATGGAGCAACTTGCAATGTGAACAGACTGACTGATGTTGTAGTGGCCAGGCTTAGGCTTGGTTACAAGTACTTCTGGCAGTTTGGGAGACACATAGATGATGATCAAACTAAATGTAAATTATGTGATCAGGCATATGGTCACTCTCTTGAACACTATGTGCTTAATTGTCCACTTATTGAGGAATACAGAGACAGACAGTATAATAACCTATGTGACATGTCAAGATATCTTATTAATGAAAATAAGATACCAGATATACTAAGCAAATTTCCTAAATTTGCTTGTAACAGATAAGTGAACTATAGATATGTAGATATAAATCCATATGTATTCCTGTTAACCCTTTGGGGCCTAGTTCCTGGGCCTTTTGTGTATCCATATGCTCTCGCGCTACCGTCCACAGGATGGATATGGGGTGCACAATAAACTAGCCACTTCGGTGGCAAAATCTAATCTAATCCTTTGACATGTACCCCTTGGAACCCAGGCGAAAAGATACATGATAATATACAATTGAAAAATCTTAGAGGGACTAGTCCCAACTCTGCACAAGAAAATCACTCCCCACGAAAGCAAAAGACTCGGCAGGCGGTGCAACATATCCCCCATGAAAAGCTGGGGCACCACGAATACGCTAAGAGACAACCCAAAAGTTTCAGGGGCCAAGATTGTTCAACTGCCGTCTTCAAGAAGGAGCCGGACAGGCACCTAAAGCAGCTGAGCAGCCGGGCTGTGGTGTATAATATTTTTGACTCTCGTAGGTTTTTCTTACACATGCTGTCATAATGCACTGTAGTCTCTAAACAACCCGTCATTAATGGTAATTGCACTCTATTTCAGAATAATACTGTCTTAAGCCAATAACTCGACACTAGCATTGATTTTGTACTTCCAGGAAAGCAGGGAGATAGATAAGTTGTAAGTTGACTGAGGCCCTCAGTCATTTTTACTCTGCTGTGAACGAGACGGGTGATACCAGGCTTAAAGCTAACAATCTTTTGCAGAAAATGGATTAACTGGAATTTGTGTTTACGCTGGGTTTTTGGACCCGTTTTCTAGGTCATTTTCACAAGGTCAATGCCATTCAGAAATCAGACCTGTTATAGAGTACTTGTGTATGTTTGTACAGTTCACTTCAGGATTTTTTAAGCAAGATTAGAGAAGATTTTGATGAGCTTGAACAACAAGCAAAAGTCACGTTGCCAAATGTTAAAAACAGAGCTGTCACAAGGAGACAAAGAGTAAGGAAACGGCAAAGAAATGACGGAAGTTCACCTGGTCCTGATGCCTTAGATGAACTCTCCTTTACTCCTGTACTAGATGTACTTTGAAGCCAGTTTAAGAAGAGCTACTGTGTACGGTAATGTTGCACAAATGTTTTCCTTTCTTGCTAATCAGACAACATCTAAGCAAGAAATTCAGCAAGATGTTGAACTGTTGTTGGAAGCATACCCAGATGATGTTGACCTGTAACTGTTGATGGCAGCATGCCCAGGAAATGTTGACCTGAAACTGTTGATGGCAGCATACCCAGATGATGCTGACCTGAAACTGTTGATGGCAGCATGCCCAGGAAATGTTGACCTGAAACTGTTGATGGCAGATGTTGAATGCAGATGTAATATATACAGACTTTGCAAAAGCCTTCGACAAGTGTGACCATGGCGTAATAGCGCACAAAATGCATGCTAAAGGAATAAAAGGAAAAGTCGGTCGATGGATCTATAATTTCCTCACTAACAGAACACAGAGAGTAGTCGTCAACAGAGTAAAGTCCGAGGCAGCTACGGTGAAAAGCTGTTCCACAAGGCACAGTACTCGCTCCCATCTTGTTCCTCATCCTCATATCCGACATAGACAAGGATGTCAGCCACAGCACCGTGTCTTCCTTTGCAGATGACACCCGAATCTGCATGACAGTGTCTTCCATTGCAGACACTGCAAGGCTCCAGGCGGACATCAACCAAATCTTTCAGTGGGCTGCAGAAAACAATATGAAGTTCAACGATGAGAAATTTCAATTACTCAGATATGGTAAACACGAGGAAATTAAATCTTCATCAGAGTACAAAACAAATTCTGGCCACAAAATAGAGCGAAACACCAACGTCAAAGACCTGGGAGTGATCATGTCGGAGGATCTCACCTTCAAGGACCATAACATTGTATCAATCGCATCTGCTAGAAAAATGACAGGATAGATAATGAGAACCTTCAAAACTAGGGAGGCCAAGCCCATGATGACACTCTTCAGGTCACTTGTTTTATCTAGGCTGGAATATTGTTGCACACTAACAACACCTTTCAAGGCAGGTGAAATTGCTGACCTGGAAAATGTACAGAGAACCTTCACGGCGCGCATAACGGAGATAAAACACCTCAATTACTGGGAGCGCTTGAGGTTCCTAAACCTGTATTCCCTGGAACGCAGGCGGGAGAGATACATGATTATATACGCCTGGAAAATCCTAGAGGGACTAGTACCGAACTTGCACACGAAAATCACTCACTACGAAAGCAAAAGACTTGGCAGACGATGCAACATCCCCCCAATGAAAAGCAGGGGTGTCACTAGCACGTTAAGAGACCATACAATAAGTGTCAGGGGCCTGAGACTGTTCAACTGCCTCCCAGCATACATAAGGGGGATTACCAACAGACCCCTGGCAGTCTTCAAGCTGGCACTGGACAAGCACCTAAAGTCGGTTCCTGACCAGCCGGGCTGTGGCTCGTATGTTGGTTTGCGTGCAGCCAGCAGCAACAGCCTGGTTGATCAGGCTCTGATCCACCAGGAGGCCTGGTCACAGACCGGGCCGCGGGGGCGTTGACCCCCGGAACTCTCCAGGTAAACTCCAGGCAGCATACCCAGATGATGTTGACCTGAAATTGTTGATGGCAGCATGCCCAGGAAATGTTGACCTGAAACTGTTGCTGGCAGCATACCCAGACGATGTTGACCTGAAACTGTTGCTGGCAGCATACCCAGACGATGTTGACCTGAAACTGTTGCTGGCAGCATACCCAGACGATGTTGACCTGAAACTGTTGATGGCAGCATACTCAGATAATGTTGACCTGAAACTGTTGATGGCAGCATACTCAGATAATGTTGACCTGAAACTGTTGATGGCAGCATACCCAGACGATGTTGACCTGAAACTGTTGATGGCAGCATACTCAGATAATGTTGACCTGAAACTGTTGATGGCAGCATACCCAGACGATGTTGACCTGAAACTCTTGATGGCAGCATACTCAGATAATGTTGACCTGAAACTGTTGATGGCAGCATACCCAAATAATGTTGACCTGAAACTGTTGCTGGCAGCATACCCAGAAGATGTTGACCTGAAACTTACAGATGACCTTTTACACTTTCATTTGTACGTGAGACAGAAGAGCAGTTACCATGGCATACAGACCTTTATCAAATTATGTACAAGGAAAAAATTCAGATGGTCTTCCCTAATGTGGAAGCAATCTTGTGACTATTTCTTAGCTTAATGGTCACTAACTGCTCGAGAGAGAGAGGTCTTTTTCAAGCCTCAAAAGAATTAATGATGCCTTGAGAGGTTGTCCACACTGAACATTCTGTGCATTGAAAGTGACAAACTTAGACAAACACATTTTTATGAACCTCTGAATAATTTTGCTGTGAGGAAGGCTAAAAAAAAAAAAGAAAAGGCTTCTTTAGTCTTAGTGTACTTGATGATAATAGTTTCTTTATTTCTTAATATGTATTTTAAAATAAAATATGCATTTTAAAGAATATAACAGTAAATTTACAATTCCATTTTCCTAAAAATTCACGCTTATTCCACAAAATGTTTACAAAGTTTGGTAACTGCAAAAGTTTTTTTTCCCCTCAAAGAAGGTTCCTTGATGCTGGTGAGGGGCTCTTGATCTAGGGAATTGGATCTGTGCTCCAGTTCCCTGAATTAAGCCTGAATACCTTCCACATCCCCCCACAGGCACTACATAATCCTACGGGTGTAGTGATCCCCCTTGATTATAATAATAATGGAAAAGTTTTTCAGTGTTCATTTTAACATTCATGTTTTGTTTTAATCACTACGGTATTTACTAATAACATATTATATCCTTTAGAGAAGGTATTGTGAATTGCGAAATTTTAAACACCCGTCATCATCATCGGCTTCATTGAATTTTATTTAAATCTTTCTTCCATCCTCCTCTAGTATGTAGATATAAATCCATATGTATTCCTGTTAACCCTTTGGGGCCTAGTTCCTAGGCCTTTTGTGTATCCATATGCTCTTGCGGTACCGTCCACAGTATGGATATGGGGTGCACAATAAACTAGCCACTTCGGTGGCAAAATCTAATCTAATCCCCTAGTTGTGAGGATAGGGATTATGAGGGCCTCACTAGTGGAATAGCCTAGGGTCTCTCTTCATCTAAATCCGGCACTGCCGCGGGGGCGTTGACCCCCGAAACCCCCTCCAGCCACACTGATGTCTTATTCTACGTGACAAATCTTTCTTTGAATCCGAAAAAGTACACTCCATGCTTGGGTTACTACAATACAGCTGCTAGAAAAATGACAGGATGGATAATGAGAACCTTCAAAACTAGGGATGCCAAGCCCATGATGACACTCTTCAGGTCGCTTGTTCTATCTAGGCTGGAATATTGCTGAACACTAACAGCACCTTTCAAGGCAGGTGAAATTGCTGACCTAGAAAATGTACAGTGAACCTTCACGGCGCGCATAACGGAGATAAAACAATTCAATTACTGGGAGCGTTTGAAGTTCCTGAACCTGTATTCCCTGGAACGCAGGCGGGAGAGATACATGATTACATACACCTGGAAAATCCTAGAGGGATTAGTACCGAACTTGCACACGAAAATCACTCACAACGAAAGCAAAAGACTTGGCAGACGATGCAACATCCCCCCAATGAAAAGCAGGGGTGTCACTAGCACGTTGATGCAACATCCCCCCAATGAAAAGCAGGGGTGTCACTAGCACGTTAAGAGACCATACAATAAGTGTCAGGGGCCCGAGACTGTTCAACTGCCTCCCAGCATACATAAGGGGGATTACCAATAGACCCCTGGCAGTCTTCAAGCTGGCACTGGACAAGCACCTAAAGTCGGTACCTGACCAGCCGGGCTGTGGCTCGTACGTTGGTTTGCGTGCAGCCAGCAGTAACAGCCTGGTTGATCAGGCTCTGATCCACCAGGAGACCTGGTCACAGACCGGGCCGCGGGGGCGTTGACCCCCGGAACTCTCTCCAGGTAAACTCCAGGTAATACATCTCTGCGAAGACTGGAGTGAGGAAGAAGGGGAAAGTTTTAAATAAGCGCATGAATTCTCAAAGCTGATTCTCAGTGTTTTACTGTCCTAGGAAATAGTTACAAGGCTTTGAGAAAGTTTAAGAAAAAAATCCATATAATATGGCTGTAGCGAGTTTTTTTTTTTCTTGAGCATAAAATCAATGAAAGTTTAGGGAGTACCGCAGTTTATCAGAGAACTCATAAATTTGACTAATCTCTTCCTAAATCTTCTGAGAAGTGCAGACATGCAACACTTTTAGGAACACTGAAGTATGAGATGTTCTATTTTCTTTGGATGATGAGAATAATATTCATATGAGCAGACATTTACTGTTTCCTTAATCTTGAAATGCCTCTCAAACTAATGAAAAAAAGTATGGTATTAAAAATATCAAACAACATTGATGAATTTAATGGATGAAGTACAATTATTTAATTGACATTGTAATTATGATTCACAAAAAGCGAATCATAATCAAAGCGCTGAACCCGAGAGGGTCAATATCGTCCAAAGACATAGAATGGTTTCAACGTTAGAGAGTGAAAGTTTATGTTAATTTAATTTAATTGTATATCATGTCACTAACCCATACTTTATTTTATTCTTGTATTAATGTCTGATATGTAATTGAGCCAGGGCTTGTATTACAACAGGTGATGGTGGGGAAGGTATGCTGGTGCGACACTCTTACTCCTGTCTCGACCTCTCCAGCTGCTCCAACACAATTCTCTCTCACGAAGATGGCAAGTATGGCTTTCGTCTGTCTGCTCCACTGGTCAACATAAGATGTGATACCCCCCAGCACCATCAACAGCAGCGTCCATCTCGCCATTCAGTTGCAGCAACGCAATCAGCTCCTCAAACAATAGGTTCATCTAGCTCTGTAAGTGTGAGTCCAGCCCGTGGCAGTTCACATGTCAATGGGATGATGAATAGTGAGGTGGACAAGAAGGGGAATCAGGCACTTGGCTACAAGGGACACCATATCATGGGCGCCAAGGGATACCATGCAATGGGTATCAAGAAGCACCGGGCTACAGGCACCAAGGAGCACCAAACAATGGGTTCCAAGGGACGCCAGGGGATGAGGGTCAGAGGACACCCAAAAGTAAATAGTTGCTCATCATGGTCACCCAGCCAACAGGTACGACCACAACCACTGCGGTCCCGGGTATTTAGTGACAGTAACGTGAGGCCTGCAACACTCTCCCGCAGCACACGTATCAACCGATGGATCCACACTAAGCAGAAGAGGTCAGCTTTCAGTCATATTCAGTTATGTTTCACGTTTACCAAGACTTCAAACATACTTAATACCCACAGAGCGTTTATATTTACAAGATTTGAGCAACTATGTCCAACATTTGTGGTCCAATAGTCCGTTTTCATTCAGTAGCCATCGGGTGTGATAAAGCTATTATACTAAAACATAAAATTGTTATACGAAACAAATGTAATTAGAATATATACAAATGTAATGTCATTATTATTTGTTACTTCCAGCTTGTTTCTGACTCATTACTTGCTCAAAATTGCCAGAGGTCTTAACGTAACATGCTTATACATAAATGAGTCTAGACACAGACACACAAATTATCAACGTGGTGATTAAAGTTTTAGCCATCAATTTCCTTTCTCGTTTACCTTTTTAAACTTGATAAATTCCTCTCTTGCTCATCACTTGCCCTTTTCTCCGCCTTTCTAACAGATTATAGACTATTGTATACAATTATCAACTTCTATTATTAATATATCTGTAAGGCGAAAGGAAGTAAATTTATTTTTAACTTAATAAATTTTTAATAGGTAGGAAAGATTAAAGATATAGCGAGTATACGTATATCCTTAAAAGGTTTGTGCAATGTGTTATGTGTCCGAGTGTGAAGGTTCTATGTTTGTGATTGCAACAAGTGTGTTGGGTGTTGCAGCTCATTGCAGGATGGCACTCTGCACTCCTTTGTGACGGTGGATGAGGCTGATGGTGAAGGCAGACCCACACCCCACTACAACCTTGAGAACATAGGCGAGAAGAGTGAAAGAAATATACAGAGTCAACAGTGAGTAGACGTGTTCTATAATTTATACATTGAGATTCCATATAAATATTATTATTAATTATGTCAGAGGATTTCATTTTCAAGGATCAAAAGTGTCATTATTACAACCTCGAGGGAAATGATAGGATGTATAATGCAGATGACACCCGAATCTGCATGACAGTGTCTTCCATTGCAGACACTGCAAGGCTCCAGGCGGACATCAACCAAATCTTTCAGTGGGCTGCAGAAAACAATATGAAGTTTAACGATGAGAAATTTCAATTACTCAGATATGGTAAACACGAGGAAATTAAATCGTCATCAGAGTACAAAACAAATTCTGGCCACAAAATAGAGCGAAACACCAACGTCAAAGACCTGGGAGTGATCATGTCGGAGGATCTCACCTTCAAGGACCATAACATTGTATCAATCGCATCTGCTAGAAAAATGACAGGATGGATAATGAGAACCTTCAAAACTAGGGATGCCAAGCCCATGATGACACTCTTCAGGTCACTTAGTTCTATCTAGGCTGGAATATTGCTGCACACTAACAGCACCTTTCAAGGCAGGTGAAATTGCTGACCTTGAAAATGTACAGAGAACCTTCACAGCGCGCATAACGGAGATAAAACACCTCAATTACTGGGAGCGCTTGAGGTTCCTGAACCTGTATTCCCTGGAACGCAGGTGGGAGAGATACATGATTATATACACCTGGAAAATCCTAGAGGGACTAGTACCGAACTTGCACACGAAAATCACTCACTACGAAAGCAAAAGACTTGGCAGACGATGCAACATCCCCCCAATGAAAAGCAGGGGTGTCACTAGCACGTTAAGAGACCATACAATAAGTGTCAGGGGCCCGAGACTGTTCAACTGCCTCCCAGCATACATAAGGGGGATTACCAACAGACCCCTGGCAGTCTTCAAGCTGGCACTGGACAAGCACCTAAAGTCGGTTCCTGACCAGCCGGGCTGTGGCTCGTACGTTGGTTTGCGTGCAGCCAGCAGCAACAGCCTGGTTGATCAGGCTCTGATCCACCAGGAGGCCTGGTCACAGACTGGGCCGCGGGGGCGTTGACCCCCGGAACTCTCTCCAGGTAAACTCCAGGCTGGAATATTGCTGTACACTAATAGCTCCTTTTAATTAAGGTAGGGAAATTTCCAGACATAGAGAATGTACAGAGAACCTTCACTGCATGTACAAGGTCAGTCAAGCACCTAAATTGCAGGGAAAGTTGAAATCTCTTGACCAGTACTCCTTGAAACGAAGGTCAGAAAGATGCTTCATAATTTACACCTGGAACATCCTAGAGGGATTGGTCCCAAATCTGCACACACAAATCATTCCCTATGTAAGCAAGAGGCTCAGCAGACAATACCCCCAGTGAAGCGTAGGAGTAGCATGAATACATTCCATGAACACAATAAATATTAGGGACTCAAATCTATCCAGTATCCTTCCACCATACATGAGTGATTACCAGTAGATCGCTTGCTGTCTTCAAGAAGGAACTGGATAAATTCATGAAGTCAATTCCTGATCAGCTGGGCTGTGATTCATGTGTTGGACTAGCAGAAATAGCCTGGTTGATCAGGCCTTGATCCACTGGGAGGCTGATTGGAGACCAGGCTTTGAGGGCGTTGACCCACGTAACATTCTCCAGGTAGACTCCAGGCAAGTGGCCCTGAAGGGGTATTTCTTTTTCCTGCTAGGTTATCATTTTTAACATGAGAAAGCCTCATTCAGTTTCAAATTTTCAGTGTTGGTGCCCTGTACCTAGGACAATGTTCATAAATTATTAGCAAATGCAGGTACCCTCTGTTTAATTTTATACTGACTACTGGGAACACTTGAAGTTCCTCAACCTGTACTCCCTAGAATGCAGGCGGGAGAGATACATGATTATATACACTTGGAAAATCCTAGAGGGATTAGTACCAAACTTGCACACGAGAATCACTCCCAATGACAGCAAAAGACTGGGCAGACAATGCAACATTCCCCCAATGAAAAGCAGGGGTGCCACTAGCACGATAAGAGACAGCACAGTAAGTGTCTGGGGCCCAAGACTGTTCAACTGCTTCCCAGCATACATAAGGGGGATTACCAATAGACCCCAGGCTGTCTTCAAGCAGGCACTGGACGGGCACCTAAAGTCAGTACCTGACCAGCCGGGCTGTGGTTCGTACATTGGGTTGCGTGCAGCCAACAGTAACAGCCTAGTTAATCAGGCCCTGATCCACCATGAGGCCTGGTCACAGATCAGGCCGCAGGGGCGTTGACCCCCAGAACCCTCTCCAGGTATACTCCAGGTAGTACATGTTCCCAGATTTGGTTTCTGTGTAATAACGTGAGAAAGATTCTTCTGATCAGCTTCAAACTTTTATCATTGGTGTATCCTACCTAGATGTTTAAGAGTATTATTTAAGTGTATAGGTGTTGGTTTTTTTTTTTTTTTTTAGAATTATTTTTTTCCTTTGAAATGACTTGAGTATGTCTCTGCTGAATGGCTTTAGTCTTTAAATGCAAGTAGTTATTATTATAATTAGTAAATTATTATTATTATTATCTAAGCTAAGAGCTAAACCCAACTGACAAGTAAAGGCTCTGTAGATGCAAATTTACTAATTTTCTAACATAATTAATAAACCTGGAATCATTAGAGTGAGCAATAACTGGAGAATGCCTTTTCTGATTGGCTTCAAACTTTCAGTGATGGTGGGCATTAAGCAAGGAAAAGTTCACATTGACTTTGGACTGTGTATGTTATAATTTGCCAATTTGATTAAACGAAATGGTTTTTATGCAATAGCTGGAGATGTCTCTTCTGACTGGCTTCAAACCCTAAACAAATGTATGTTAATTTTAATTATGAACGTTTATGGATTGACATTGGGTTTTTTAAGTACGTCTTATGAAATGATTTATACCTTTTAAATTTAGGCTATGTTGGTGTAAATTTGTTAATTTACTAACATAGTTCATAAACCTGGAATTGTTCGATTCTGTGGGATAACTGAACAATGCTTCTTCTGGTCAGCTTCAAAATTTTAGCACTGATTTTGGCTTGTGTAATTTTAAATTGCCAATTTTATTAAACAAACTGATTTCCATGCAATAACTGGAGAATGCCTTTTCAGTTCAGCTTCAAATCTTAAATGCTAATTTATCTTACTTAGACAAATGTTTGAACTGATTTTGGGCTGTATACTTGGAGTTTACCTGGAGAGGGTTTCAGGGGGTCAATGCCCCCATGGCCTGGTCTGAGACCAGGCCTCATGGTGGATCACGGTTTGATCAACCAGGCTGCTACTGCTGGCCGCACGCAAGCTGACCTATGAACCACAGCCCAGTTGGTCAGGTACTGATTTCAGGTGCCTGTCCAGTGCCTTCTTGAAGACAGCCAAGGGTCTATTGGTAATCCCCCTTATGTATGCTGGGAGGCAATTGAAGAGTCTTGAGCCCCCGGACACTTGTTGTATTGTCTCTCAGTGTACTTGTGGCGCCCCTGCTTTTCATCGGGGGAATGTTGCATCTTCTGCCGAGTCTTTTGCTTTCATAGGGAGTGATTTTCGTGTGCAGGTTTGGTACCAATCCCTCCAGGACCTTCCAAGTGTATATTATCATGTATCTCTGCCGAGGGAATACAGATCAAGAACCTTCAACCATTCCCAGGTGCCTTATTGTACTTAAGTGTGCCGTGAAAGTTCTTTGTACACTTTCCAGGTCTACAATGTTGCCATCCTTGAAGGGGGCCGTTAGTGTACAGCAGTACCTATTCCAGCCTAGAGAGCACAAGCAATTTGAAGAGAATCATCATGGGCTTGGTGCCCCTAGTTTTGAAGGTTCTCATTATCCATCCTATCATTTTCCTAGCAGAGGTAGATACATTGTTGTGGTCTTTGAATGTGAGATCCTCTGACATTATCACTCCCAGTTCCTTCACATTACTTTTCTGCTTGGTTAGAATTTGTTGTATACCCTGACACATTTTTAATTTCTTCAAGTTTCCCATATCTAAGTAGTTGAAATTTCTCCTTGTTGAACTTCATAGTGTAGGTGCCAACTTGAAAATTTTATGAATAACTGGGTAAATTGAAAAATTGGTCTGTATGCAATAATTTGTGAATGTCTTTTCTGATCAGTTTGAATCTTTAAACTTTAAGTGACGTGTATTTTGAGATATTGGTCTCTGCTCAGTAACTACATTGTCTTTTCTGTTTGCTTTTAAATTGGTGTATCTTAGTGGATAATTCAAATTTGTTTTGGCAATTACAGTATAATTAAGAAATTGCCAGTTTTAATTAAGAAATTGCAATATTAGTTTTCATGCAATAATTTGTGAATGCATCTTCCAATTAGCTTCAAATTCTTATTAGAAACGTTTGTAGCAATAATGTTGAAGGAGTTATGGAAGGAGAAAAGAAAATATGAATGTGGAAATTCAAGGATTATGTGGATTAAAGTAAAGGTTGGATGCGAAAAGTGGGTCATAATATGCGTGTATGCACCTGGAGAAGAGAGGAATGTAGAGGAGAGAGAGAAATTTTGGGATATGTTAAGTGAATGTATAGGAGTCTTTGAACCAAGTGAGAGAGTAATTGTGGTAGGGGACCTGAATGCTAAAGTAGGAGAAAATTTTAGAGAGGGTGTGGTAGGTAAGTTTGGGGTGCCAGGTGTAAATGATAATAGGAGCCCTTTGATTGAACTTTGTATAGAAGGGGGTTTAGTTATAGGTAATACATATTTTAAGAAAAAGAGGATAAATAAGTATACAAGATATGATGTAGGGCGAAATGATAGTATAGTTTGTTGGATTATGTATTGGTAGATAAAAGACTGTTGAGTAGATTTCAGGATGTACATGTTTATAGAGGGGCCACAGATATATCAGATCACTTTTTAGTTGTAGCTACACTGAGAGTAAAAAGTAGATGGGATACAAGGAGAATAGAAGCATCAGGGAAGAGAGAGGTGAAGGTTTATAAACTAAAAGAGGAGGCAGTTAGGGTAAGATACAAACAGCTATTGGAGGATAGATGGGCTAATGAGAGCATAGGCAATGGGGCCGAAGAGGAATGGGGTAGGTTTAAAAATGTAGTGTTAGAGTGTTCAGCAGAAGTTTGTGGTTACAGGAAAGTGGGTGCGGGAGGGAAGAGGAGTGATTGGTGGAATGATGATGTAAAGAGAGTAGTAAGGGAGAAAAAGTTAGCATATGAGAAGTTTTTACAAAGTAGAAGTGATGCAAGGAGGGAAGAGTATATGGAGAAAAAGAGAGAGGTTAAGAGAGTGGTGAAGCAATGTAAAAAGAGAGCAAATGAGAGAGTGGGTGAGATGTTAACAAATTTTGTTGAAAATAAGAAAAAGTTTTGGAGTGAGATTAACAAGTTAAGGAAGCCTAGAGAACAAATGGATTTGTCAGTTAAAAATAGGAGAGGAGAGTTATTAAATGGAGAGTTAGAGGTTTACCTGGAGAAAGTTCCGGGGGTCAACGTCCCCGCGGCCTGGTCTGTGACCAGGCCTCCTGGTGGATCAGAGCCTGATCAACCAGGCTGTTACTGCTGGATGCACACAAACCAACGTACGAGCCACAGCCCGGCTGGTCAGGTACCGACTTTAGGTGCTTGTCCAGTGCCAGCTTGAAGACTGCAAGGGGTCTATTGGTAATCCCCCTTATGTATGCTGGGAGGCAGTTGAACAGTCTCGGGCCCCTGACACTTATTGTATGGTCTCTTAACGTGCTAGTGACACCCCTGCTTTTCATTGGGGGATGTTGCATCGTCTGCCAAGTCTTTTGCTTTTGTAGTGAGTAATTTTCGTGTGCAAGTTCGGTACTAGTCCTTCTAGAATTTTCCAGGTGTATATAATCATGTATCTCTCCCACCTGCGTTCCAGGGAATACAGGTTCAGGAACCTCAAGCACTCCCAGTAACTGAGGTGTTTTATCTCCGTTATGTGCACCGTGAAGGTTCTCTGTACATTTTCTAGGTCAGCAATTTCACCTGCCTTGAAAGGTGCTGTTAGTGTGCAGCAATATTCCAGTCTAGATAGAACAAGTGACCTGAAGAGTGTCATCATGGGCTTTGCATCCCTAGTTTTGAAGGTTCTCATTATCCATCCTGTCATTTTTCTAGCAGCTGTGATTGATACAATGTTATGGTCCTTGAAGGTGAGATCCTCTGACATGATCACTCCCAGGTCTTTGACGTTGGTGTTTAGCTCTGTTTTGTGGCCAGAATTTGTTTTGTACTCTGATGAAGATTTAATTTCCTTGTGTTTACCATATCTGAGTAATTGAATTTTCTCATCGTTGAACTTCATATTGTTTTCTGCAGCCCACTGAAAGATTTGGTTGATGTCCGCCTGGAGCCTTGCAGTGTCTGCAATGGAAGACACTGTCATGCAGATTAGGGTGTCATCTGCAAAGGAAGACACGGTGCTGTGGCTGACATCCTTGTCTATGGCAGATATGAGGATGAGGAACAAGATGGGAGCGAGTACTGTGCCTTGTGGAACAGAGCTTTTCACCGTAGCTGCCTCGGACTTTACTCTGTTGACTACTACTCTTTGTGTTCTGTGTGTGAGAAAATTATAGATCCATCTACCAACTTGTCCTGTTATTCCTTTAGCACGCATTTTATGCACTATTACGCCATGGTCACACTTGTCGAAGGCTTTTGCAAAGTCTGTATATATTACCTCTGCATTCTTTTTGTCTTCTAGTGCATCTAGGACCTTGTCGTAGTGATCCAATAGTTGAGACAGACAGGAGCGACCTGTTCTAAACCCATATTGCCCTGGGTTGTGTAATTGATGGGTTTCTAGATGGGTGGCGATCTTTCTTCTTAGGACCCTTTCAAAGGTTTTTATGATATGGGATGTTAGTGCTATCGGTCTGTAGCTCTCTGCTATTGCTTTACTGCCCACTTGTGGAGTGGGGCTATGTCTGTTGTTTTTAGTAAATGTGGGCCGACCCCCGTGTCCATGCTCCCTCTCCATAGGATGGTAAAAGCTTGTGATAGGGGCTTCTTGCAGTTCTTGATGAACATAGAGTTCCATGAGTCTGGCCCTGGGGCAGAGTGCATGGGCATGTCATTTATCGCCTGTTCGAAGTCATTTGGTGTCAGGATAACATCAGATAGGCATGTGCTAACCAAATTCTGTGGCTCTCATAAAAAATTCATTTTGATCTTCGGCTCTCAGTCTGGTTAGCGGCTTGCTAAAAACTGAGTCATATTGGGACTTGAGTAGCTTACTCATTTCCTTGCTGTCTTCTGTGTAGGACCCAGATGAGGAATTGTTAAATGTTGATGAAGATAGGGAAGCTGTGATTTCGTGTATAGGGCAAGGAGGAATAACATCTTGTTGGAGTGAGGAAGAGCCAGTTGTGAGTGTGGGGGAAGTTCGTGAGGCAGTAGGTAAAATGAAAGGGGTAAGGCAGCTGGGATTGATGGGATAATGATAGAAATGTTAAAAGCAGGTGGGGATATAGTTTTGGAGTGGTTGGTGCTATTGTTTAATAAATGTATGGAAGAGGGTAAGGTACCTAGGGATTGGCAGAGAGCATGCATAGTTCCTTTGTATAAAGGCAAAGGGGACAAAAGAGAGTGCAAAAATTATAGGGGGATAAGTCTGTTGAGTATACCTGGTAAAGTGTATGGTAGAGTTATTATTGAAAGAATTAAGAGTAAGACGGAGAATAGGATAGCAGATGAACAAGGAGGCTTTAGGAAAGGTAGGGGGGGTGTGGACCAGGTGTTTACAGTGAAACATATAAGTGAACTGTATTTAGATAAGCCTAAAGAGGTTTTTGTGGCATTTATGGATTTGGAAAAGGTGTATGACAGGGTGGATAGGGGGGGGGCAATGTGGCAGATGTTGCAGGTGTATGGTATAGGAGGTAGGTTACTGAAAGCAGTGAAGAGTTTTTATGAGGATAGTGAGGCTCAAGTTAGAGTATGTAGGAAAGAGGGAGATTATTTCCTAGTAAAAGTAAGCCTTAGACAAGGATGTGTGATGTCACCATGGTTGTTTAATATATTTATAGATGGGGTTGTAAGAGAAGTAAATGCGAGGGTCTTAGCAAGAGGCGTGGAGTTAAAAGATTAAGAATAACACATAAAGTGGGAGTTGTCACAGTTGCTCTTTGCTGATGACACTGTGCTCTTGGGAGATTCTGAAGAGAAGTTGCAGAGGCTGGTGGATGAGTTTGGTAGGGTATGTAAAAGAAGAAAATTAAAAGTGAATACAGGAAAGAGTAAGGTTATGAGGATAAAAAGATTAGGTGATGAAAGATTGGATATCGGACTGGAGGGAGAGAGTATGGAGGAGGTGAATGTATTCAGATATTTGGGAGTGGACGTGTCAGCGGATGGGTCTATGAAAGATGAGGTGAATCATAGAATTGATGAGGGGAAAAGGGTGAGTGGTGCACTTAGGAGTCTGTGGAGACAAAGAACTTTGTCCTTGGAGGCAAAGAGGGGAATGTATGAGAGTATAGTTTTACCAATGCTTTTATATGGGTTTGAAGCATGGGTGATGAATGTTGCAGCAAGGAGAAGGCTGGAGGCAGTGGAGATGTCATGTCTGAGGGCAATGTGTGGTGTGAATATAATGCAGAGAGTTCGTAGTTTGGAAGTTAGGAGGAGGTGCGGGATTGCCAAAACTGTTGTCCAGAGGGCTGAGGAAGGGTTGTTGAGGTGGTTCGGACATGTAGAGAGAATGGAGCGAAACAGAATGACTTCAAGAGTGGATCAGTCTGTAGTGGAAGGAAGGCGGGGTAGGGGTCGGCCTAGGAAAGGTTGGAGGGAGGGGTAAAGGAGGTTTTGTGTACGAGGGGCTTGGACTTCCAGCGGGCATGCGTGAGCGTGTTTGATAGGAGTGAATGGAGACAAATGGTTTTTAATACTTGACGGCTGTTGGAGTGTGAGCAAGGTAACATTTATGAAGGGATTCAAGGAAACCGGCAGGCCGGACTTGAGTCCTGGAGATGGGAAGTACAGTGCCTGCACTCTGAAGAAGGGGTGTTAATGTTGCAGTTTAAAAACTGTAGTGTAAAGCACCCTTCTGGCAAGACAGTGGTGGAGTGAATGATGGTGAAAGTTTTTTTTTTTTTTCGGACCACCCTGCCTTGGTGGGAATCGGCCAGTGTGTTAATAAAAAAAAATGTTACTGTTTACTATTCCTTTCATGTGCATTTAGGTACTAGGATTAGTCTGCTTAAAATGCTCTGGCATTATAGTGGGTTTCTTTGTACTTAGCAAACCAAAATTCTAATTACACATTGCAACCTTTACAAAGAAATACTCTTTATCTTTAGGGAACTGGGCTTCTGGGATATGTGGATAACTTTATTCAGATTGTACAGCAACCAAAACAAATCTAGTTACATTATTTTTTAATAAAAGTATGTGATGGAGGACAGTACATTCATAATAGTAACACAAGCTTTTTATTCAGAAGGAAATCCCGGAGGCGTGTAAGTGCCCTTACAACCAGTCGACGACTTGAATGGCGCTCTGGGATGGGACGAAACATCAGCCCAGCCTCTGAAACTAGCAGTGACAATTCTGAGAAAAATACACACCTTGAAAAACATTTATTGGTCAGCTCAGGGTGGACATCTCAGGCTGTCCGTGAACATCGTATTAATGCCCTCAGGTCTTTCCTAGTAACCAAAAACCACCCATTGGTAATCCTCAATTTATTAGAAACAAATAAAATTGTGGAAGCCATAACAATGGCTAGGGAGAGCAAGACACGTGTGAGACTAGATGTATGTTTGCTATGGGCATGTCTGCAGGGTGTTGCAGATCTGGTACAAACATTGCTAGATGAAGGAGCCAATGTGGAAGCACGAGACAACATGGGTTTCAGTGCATTACATCTGGCAGCAGAGAGTGGGTCTGAAGAAGTGCTGCAGGTGCTGCTTAAAAATGGAGCTCGGGTAGGTGGGTCATGGGACTGGGATTGCAACGAAGAGTTCACTCCGTTAATGCTAGCTGCTCGCAGGGGATGCATGGGTGGTGTTAAGTTGTTATTGGCAGCGGGAGCAAATGTGAATGCTGGACTTAACACAAGTGGGGAGACGGCTCTACATCATGCAGTGCGAGCAGCATCCACTGACTGTGTTCAGATTTTGATCAGCGCTGGTGCCACCATTAATCCAACTCTTCTCTATAGTGAGACACCTCTGCACATTGCTGTTTCTGAAGGACTGTCAGATATAGTGGATGTACTTTTAGATTCTGGGGCCGATGTGAAGAACTCAAAAGGAAATTCTAAAATGACAGCACTCCACATTGCTGCCCAAGAAGGTTACTGCCAAGTAGCTCATCAATTGTTAAAAGCTGGTGCCAACCCAAACCAAGAAAACCTCAGAGGACAGACACCTCTTCATTTAGCAGCTAAGGCTCAGAGTTATGACACTGTACAGCTGCTGCTTAGCTTTGGCGCTAGCCCAAACGCCTGTGACTGTGACCGTAAAACTCCACTTCACAGTGGGATCTTCAAGGGATCAAGATCTCATGAGTGCCTGCGACTTCTTCTGGAAGCTGGAGCAGACGCCAATGCAGCAGACCATCTGGGATATACTCCTTTACACATGGCAGCATTGCATGATTCCTCTTACTGTGTGTTGCTTTTCCTGGATCATGGCGGAGATGTCACAGCTCACACTCGGGGAGGAGTCTCTGCCCTCAACTTGATCCTCCGCCGCACACCTACAGTCTTGGCTCATATCCATGAGAATCTTGATGCTGCCATTTCATTCAGTGACCATGAACATGAGAGAGAGACTCAGGTATGTTCAAAATCACACTCCACCAGTGTCTCCTTCAATCCAAAAAATCAGAGTAAATTTCAGAATCGTAAAAATGTACCTTGTCTCAGACATAATTATTATATAAAATGCACACTTCATCTTTAATAACTTACATCTTCAAGTACATACAGTAGTAGTAAAACAAAGTTTTATTGAATTAGCCAAGAATAAAACTATAAATGGATAATTTTGTCTTAAATAGATTAGCACAGTTTTAATAAAAATTAGAACAGGTAATACTGTATATATTTTTGAAGATTTGCATGCATTATAATGTAAAGCAAGACATGTTTGAAATACATGTACACGTACATATTTTTTTAAATTCTGATACTAGTTGTTGGGTTATGAGTGGACCCTCGGCTAATGATTTTAATCCGTTCCAGAGAGCTTGTCCTTAACCGATTTTATTGTTAGCCGAATTAATTTTCCCCATAAGAAATAATGGAAATCCAATTAATCTGTTCCAGGCACCCAAAAGTATTAAAATTTTTTTTTTTCACATGAAATATACAGTTTCCTACACGAAAACAATGATACATAAAGAAAAATGTACAGCAGAAAAATATACATGAAAAAAAATGAACCTTTATTGAAGATGTAGTGATGAGTGATGAGATGGGAGGAGGGGAGATGATGGTGTACAGTGGACCCCTGGTTCGCGATGCCATCGGTATCCGATAAATCCGATATTCGATGCTTTGCATCGAAAAAATTTTGCTGGGGTTCCGTTTAAAAAAACCCGGTTACGCGATTCGTCCGAGACATGTCCACGGTTGCCTGAACTCCCCCGTGTGTCCCAGTGTTTAAAAAGAGCCAGTGGTGCTCGCATCAAGGATACATTCAGTACATTCCATATTTCACAGTGTTTTTTGGTGTTTTTCTGAAAAATGCCATCATGGGCCCCAAAGAAAGTTTTCTAGTGCCAACCCTTCGAGCCAAGGGTGCAAATGACTTTTGAAATGAAAGAGATAATTGCAAAGTAAAAAGTGGAGTCCCTGGTCGACCTGGCAAAGTTGTTACAAAAACCCCAATAACCATTCTACTATAGTGACCAGGGGAAAACGGGAAACAAGGAAGTGTTGTTGTAAAAGGTGCAACTGTGATTATGAAACAGCGACCGCAAGTGTTAGAAAATGTTTAGAGGGGACTGTTATTGGGGTGGATAAATGAAAAACGATAGCAGGGATAGCATCTCTCAAGCAAAATTTTTTGAATAGGTAGGCAGTTTCTGACGATTTTTGGTAAAGGGCCTGAACAGTGGTGATGTGAGTGAATTTAAAGCCAGCAAAGGTTGGTTTGAAAATTTAAAAAAGAGTGGCTACATAGTGGATTAGGCATGGTGAAGGTTGAGTTCGGACCAAAAAGTAGCTGAAAAAAAATGTGAAAGAATTCAAAGGATTACATAGAAGTGAAGACTTGAAACCCGAACAAGTGTTTAATTTCAACGAAACAGGGCCCGTTTTGGAAGAAATTGCCCGCAGGCACATTACTCAGGAGGAAAAGGCCTCCCGGACATAAACCCATGAAAGCAGGCTTACTCTTTGATGTGGCCAATGCTAGTGGTGATTGCAAGTGGGAAACCTTTATTGGTGATCACCAGAAATCCCAGGGTTTCAGGCAAAAGAATATCCTCAAGGCTAATTGTGTGTGCTGTGGAGGGCAAAAACCCAGGCATGGGTACTAGGGCTTTTTCTTGATGGTTACCCTTTATTTGCCCCCAATGTGAAAAATTACCTAATGAAAAAATTTGACCTTAAGTGCCCCCGGGGATTAGACAATGCCCCGGGTCATCCTACAGACTTGGCAGAGCGATTTTCTGGGGGACATGAGTTCATTAAGGTCAAGTTTTTGCCCCCCAATACCCTCCTTTCCTGCAGCCCAGGGACGCAGGTCTTTCCCAACTTCAAGAAACTGTACCCAAAAGCTTTTTGAAAAAACCCCCAAAACCCCGACACACTATTGACTCTAAAAAGTCTTGGAAGGATCACTTTAATATCCCCCAATTGTGAAACCTTTAGGTAAGGCTTGGGAGGGAGGACTAAGAGGACCTTGAACTCTGCCTGGAAAAAAAATGTGGCCGAGTGTGACAAAAGGGTTTTTAAGGGTTTTTGGCTAACCCCGGGGAATCCTTGCCAGTTGAGGAAAACCATTGTGGCATTGGGAAGTCCTTGGGGTTTGGGGGTTGTGGGGGGGATGTGGAAGGTTGGGGGAGGAGGACAAGACAACTAACCCCTGATAGCTGCTGATCATTTCACAGCGAGAGGCCGATTGAGGAAAAAGCTTCGGAGGAGGGGGTGGGAAATTGAAGAAGTTGCCTACTTCAAGATTAGGGAAAAAAGGTGCAAAAGGGGGAAGTGCAAAGCTTTTTTTTTATGAAAATCACCCCACACACTTTCTGCAACCGTGTTGGCAATGACAATGACGTGTTTTGAAGCCTTTGGAAAGTCAAAAGGAACGAGATGTAAGGCCCCTTGGGCAGATATGTTTGGACAGAACCAGTGACTCAAGCTTGGCCTAGGGGCATTAAAAGAAGAAGGGAAGTAACCCCAGAAAAGGACTTGCTACCTCAAGTCCTAATGGAAGGGGATTCTCCTTCTAAACAATAGGTTCGACACTCTCCCCGCCTTCCATCCCATCAATCATCACCAGATCTTCATTAAAGGTAAGTGTCATGTATTCTATTGTTAGTAGAGTACATACTACAAACTGTGCATGTCTTCTTCAGTTTGTGTGCATTAAACTTAATATTTCATGTGGTAAATGTTTTTTTTTCATAGTTTTGGGTGTCTTGCATGGATTAATTTGATTTCCATTATTTCTCATGGGGAAAATTGATTCGCTTTCTGATAATTTTGGTTTACGATGAGCTCTCAGGAACGGATTAATATTGTAAACCGGGGGTCCACTGTATTATTGTTTGGAAGGGGAATCCCCTTCCATAAGGACTTTAGGTACCAAGTCCTTTTCCAGGGTTACCTCCCTTCTTTTTTTAATGCCACTGGGAACAACTTGACAGTCACTGGACCTTTGACGCACCAAAAATCTATCCTTAGAACTCTGTACCTGGCGTTCCTCTAAGATTTTCCTAAAATGGGCCACAACATTGTCATTGTAAAAGTCACCAGCATGGCTTGCAATAGCTGAGTCAGGGTGATGTTCTTCCATAAAGGCTTGCACCTTTGTCCACATTGTACAAATGTCCTTAATCGTTGAAGGCAACGTCCTCCATCTGTCTCTCCCCTCCTCTGAAGCAATTTCCTCTGTTGTGGTCTCTTGCTGTTGCAGATGCTCTTGCGGCTTTTCAGTGGTTAGTTCTTCATCGTTGTCCTCCACCAACTCTTCCACATCCTCCCCACTAACCTCCAACCCCATGGACTTTCCCAATGACAATAGATTCCACAACTGGTATAGGCTTCTCAGGGTTAGCCCCAAACTCTTCAAAATCCCTCTCTTGTACACATTGTGGCCACAATTTCCTCCAAGCAGAGTTCAAGGTCCTGTTAGTCACTCCCTCCCAAGCCTTACCTATAAGGTTTATGCAATTGAGGATACTAAAGTGATCTTTCCAAAACTCTCTCAAGGTCAGTTCAGTGTCTGAGGTCACTTCAAAGCACTTTTGAAACACTGCTTTGGTGTACAGTTTTTTGAAATTTGAAATGACCTGCTGGTCCATGGGCTGGAGGAGAGGAGTGGTATTAGGAGGCAAAAACTTCACTTTGATGAAGCTCAACTCCCCCGCAATTCGTTCTGGCAAATCTGGAGGATGAGTAGGAGCATTGTCTAATACCAGGAGGTACTTAAGGTCCAGTTTATTTTCCAGGAGGTAATTTTTCACAGTGGGGCCAAACACATGATAGAACCAATCATGGAAAATGTCCCTAGGGACCCATGCCTTACTGTTTGCCCTCCACATCACACACAAATTAGCCTTGATGACACTGTTTTTCTTGAACACTCTGGGAGTTTCAGAGTGACACACAAGTAGAGGCTTCACTTTGCAATCCCCACTAGCATTACTACAAAACATTAGAGTTAGCCTGTCTTTCATAGGCTTGTGTCTTGGCAGTGCTTTTTCCTCTTGTGTAATGTAGGTCCTGTTTGTCATTTTCTTCCAAAACAGGCCTGTTTTGTCACAATTAAACACTCATTGGGGTTTTAATTTTTCAGTGTCTATGTACTCCTTGAATTCCTGCACATATTTTTCAGCCGCGTTTGGTCAGAACTGGCAGCCTCACCATGCCTTATCACACTGTGTATGCCACTACAATTCTTAAATCTCCCAAACCAACATTTGCTGGCCTTAAATTCACTAACATCACCACTAGTTGCAGGTGTGGAGAAATTTTCTCCAGGAGGGGGGTATCAGCCCCCTTCAGCCCCTTCAGCCCCTTTCAGCCCTGAGGGGCCCAGCCCTCTCAGAAGGGGCAAATATCTTGTTTACTGCTACAGCGAGTAATAGGGAACACTTAGCTGATAAAAGACAGCAAATCGGCCCGGTGGTCTGGTGGCTAAAGCTCCCGCTTCACACACGGAGGGCCCGGGTTCGATTCCCGGCGGGTGGAAATTCCGACACGTTTCCTTACACCTATTGTCCTGTTCACCTAGCAGCAAATAGGTACCTGGGTGTTAGTCGACTGGTGTGGGTCGCATCCTGGGGGACAAGATTAAGGACCCCAATGGAAATAAGTTAGACAGTCCTCGATGACGCACTGACTTTCTTGGGTTATCCTGGGTGGCTAACCCTCCGGGGTTAAAAATCCGAACGAAATCTTATCTTAGCCGCCCCTGCAGACGAGGTCTTGAATTGTTGTCATGATCATCTCTCAACGGGCTGTAATGAGTTATAATTTGTAAGATTATAAATTACCCCTAGGGGGTGTTATGTCAGCATATTTCATTCACTGATGGCTGACAAACTTACTTGTGTGGACTCAAAAGTCCACACCTTACTGCCGACTATAGGTTGATTACAAACTCCTTGCGACTCAAGAACTGCGCAGTCCCCCGTACTACAAGAAATTCGTAACCTACCTTGCTCTTGTAGCGTGAGCTATGGTGTTCTTCACACCTTCGACAGATATTGGTGACTTGATAGAAGCTGAAGTGTCCTTGGATGTCCACGTCTTCCATAGTCTAGGAATACGCACACTGGTACACTATGTTCCACAAGATTTGTCTTTATTGTTCACAATCTTATCACTAAAGAAGCTGATCACACTTCTCTTAAGTGTTTATTGTGTTTTATAAGACACTTTGTTCACACTAACGCACAGATCGTTCTTTGTTGGTTATCTTGGCATCAGTGTCACTCTCAGTAGAGTCAAAAGTAATCTGAAGATGCCACAATGCCCCACGCCGTCACTGCCCCCAGCACAAAGGAAAAGCTGACCTAGTACTTTTGCTTCCTTGCCACTTCCTCGATGAAGCAAAGCAGAATGTTTGCTTCTTGCTGTCTTAAGCATAGACAACAATGTCCACTATCTTTATTATGGTAATAAAGTGGGAGCAGGATTTACCTTAATTGTCCTGCTAAGGTAAGAGATGTACTGTCTCTTATTAAAATACACTCTGCAACACTGGACCGCACGGAGCGGCGGTCGCTTGACCACAGGTCGTATACTGGTACTGCATCTGGGATCAATTACTCGCTGTAGCAGTAAACAAGATATTTGCCCCTTCTGAGAGGGCTGGGCCCCTCAGGGCTGAAAGGGGCTGAAGGGGGCTGATACCCCCCTCCTGGAGAAAATTTCTCCACAGCAGGCATTTTTTTAATTAAATCGTCATGCAACTGCCTTGCCTTGTCACATACGATTGACTGTGAAACACTATCTCCTGATAATTGTTTGTCGTTGATCGACACCAGTAACAGTCTCTCCACATCTTCGAGTATTTGCGATCTCTGTTTTGTAAGCTTACATGTACTTGCAACTTTTGCAGCAACAGCTTCCTTGATTGCCTTTCTGCTGGCCAAGATAGTAGCGATGGTTGATTGGGGTTTGTTGTACAACCGGCCCAGCTCAGAGCCTCGCACTCCACTTTCATACTTTGCAATTATCTCTTTCTTCAGTTTGATTGTACATCTCGCCCTTTTTGCCACGGGGTTGGCACTAGAAGCTTTGTTGGGGCCCATAGTGGCTTATTTAGCAGTTACAAGTACTAAAAAAATGGAATAATACAAAATGTGTCGAATGTATGTGTGGAACCGTCCGCCATGGCTTGTAAACACTGGCACACTAGCTGAAGGCAGGGCAGCTGAGGTGCACTCAGACCAGATGGCCAGGCAGACACTTTTGGGACGATCATCCTTAACCGGGTTTTTCATCGATGGCCGAGCCAATATTTTTACGCTAAAACACATCGCTATCCGGTTTTATCGATAGCCAATGTCATTGTTAGCCGAGGGTCCACTGTATATGTTCATGAATAATCTTTCAACATCTAACAAAGCCAATGGAAACCTAATGGGATTTCATTGTTAGGACAAAACAAAGTATAATTATTTATATTTCTGAATGCAAAATATCTTGTGACATGAAAATGCAACATACCATCATAATCTGTTAGAAAAATTTTCATTCTTTTCATCAGGTACAACTGAATTTCCGTGTGCTGGTGCCAGGGGAGGGTAACAGTCTGGAGTGTCGAATGCTCTCCTGCTTTATTCGTGAAGGTCAAAAGCCTCTTCTCAAGCACCCACTCTGTGAGACGCTGCTTTTCCTTAAGTGGTTCAGGGTCTGTTCCTTTTTCATTTTTAACCTGGTGTTTTATGCTCTGTTGGTGGCAATGTTAACTTGTTACATCATTGTAGTATTCCCTGCAGCTTCATGCCTTCATATCAATAGCACTCAAGAAACAATCTTTGTACCTTTGAAGATCACTGTCCCAACATCTGATGTGGACAGTACACCACCACCTACTAAGGCAGCATCTTATCAGCAACAAAACCCGCATGACAGTTCTGCACACCTCTCGTTCCTCAGTAATAACACCATTCTGCCCATTCCTACATTCGAATTATCAAAAACAGAAAAATGCAAAAGTGAATATGAGGTTCTACTCAGATTTCTTGTTTATTTTATCTGGGGAGGAATATGCATGCTAGCAGTGAAGGAGATCTTTCAAATAATTGACACACCATGGACATACTTCTCTTCTTGGGATAATGTACTTGTGTGGCCAATAATTATATTCTCAATGATTATTACTGTTTCATCCTATGTCCACTATGATACACAAGACTGGGAGCATCATTTGGCAGCTATTGTTATACTCCTCAGTTGGGTGGAGCTGCTGCTACTCATTGGTCGGTTTCCAGTCTTTGGTTTGTACGTACAGATGTTCACTCATGTTACAAAAAACTTCGGTAAGTTTTTGTTTGCTTACATTTCCCTTATTAATGCATTTTCTCTGAGTTTTGGTGTACTTTTTCCTAATCATCCTCCCTTCAAGGTGTATTTCCTTAGATTTATAAAAACATTAGTTATGATGACTGGAGAAATTGACTATGATGAGTGGTTCTTTGCTGATGATAAAATGATCATGTATCCTGTAACATCTCACATAATTTTTGTTATTTTCTTAATATTTGTGACAATTATTCTAATGAATCTACTTGTGGGTTTAGCTGTCTCTGATATACAAGGGCTTCAGAAATCTGCTGGTTTAGATAGACTGGTACGCCAGACAGAACTGATTGCACATTTCGAGTCCTTTATGTTCAGCCAGTGGCTTGCATGGGCTATGCCAAAAGGAATTCTTAGTTTTCTGCACCGTGGTATTCTACTGTGCCCATCTCTGTATGGCAAAACTCTTATGCTAACTCCTAAGACTCTTCAAGATACTGGCCTCCCTCAAGAGCTTGTTGAAATTATTCTTCGCACAGCTCGTGCTCGAGATCATGCCTCACGCCGCAGGAATGCCTTTGCAAACTTTAGAAATTTGAGCAAAACTGCACAATATTCCAGTGATGCAGATGGAGACATGCAGAAAAGTGTTGATGCCTTGCGTTTTGGCTTAGACATACTAGTATGGGATGTAGATGGACGACGAGGGGAGAGTGCACAGCTGAAGGAAACCCTGGCTACTCTGTCAGATGAGATTGCCCATGTGAGTCAGTGTGTAGATGCCCTTACAACAGACAGACTCTGCCCCAAATGTCAGCAGCAGGAAGAAGGCAAAGATGAGTGGACAAGTGTATACATGTCATGTGACACACTTGATAACAAGACCACATAAGGCTTCAGTACATGAAGACTAGGCCTTACAAGGAATATTAAGCAAATTTTAAAGTTTTGTAGCACAGTTGATGTGCTATATATACCTGTGCTTTACCCGTCGCCAATTTCGAGGGTTCTTCTATCCCCACAGCCTGGCCTGAGACCAGTCTTGGCCACAGATATTGACACATCGTTCCATACTTTCTCCCATAGCTAATGCTCTGTAAGTTTATAGCAGACTGCAGGTTAGGGACCAGTCCCTCAATAACCTTCCATGTATGTATTACAAGGTATCTCTATTCCAGAGAACAATCCAATAGTTTTTATATTTTATTGATTTCATGGGAGCTGTATACAGCCTCTCTACATTTTCTAACAGAACGTTGGGAAGCACAAGTGATTTCAAAAGTACCATCACTAGCATTGCTTCTCTTTATTTGAAAGCTCTCAATCATTTTTTCCGACATTCTAAAAGAATGTCAGATAGTTCTTGGCTTATTTTGTCCTTGTCAATTTTCAAATAGTTTACATTGGGAATTTCCTAGATTATTTACATGTGAATTTATACATGTTTGTGCTTCAATGAGATTGTGATTCTAGTGTATTGTATTTGATTGTCATTGATTAGCTTACTGTATATTAACTACATTTTCTTTATCGTGTTTTCCAAATGACAGAGCCTGATATAATTATTCTCAAGTCTTTTACCTGTTCCTTTCATTCCATATGGCCTAAGTACATTCTCTATGCTGTGCTTCTTTTGAGGTCTTTATTCTTCCTCAACCTAAGCAGTTCAAATTTATATCTACGGGCCACCATATTATTTTCATTTGCCCATTGGAAGACTTTGATTTGATTTCCCACCAAGGCAGGGTGGCCCAAAAAAGAAAAACTTTCATCATCATTCATGCCATCACTGTCTTGCCAGAGGCATGCCCACACTAGTTATAAAACCTGCAACATTAACATTCCCTTCTTCTACCAAGGTACTTATACTTATTTTGATATTGTCTGAAAGATATGAAGCTATGTCTGGTATGAGGATAAGAGAGATTAGTTGAGAAATACATAAAATGCAATCACTAGGACATGTTTATAGGAAACATTTCAGTCATGGGACCTTAGTCACTCTAAATACAAGTAAAGTAACCAAGGACCCAGGACCACAGCACTTCCATTTAATATGTCCTTGTGATTGCATTTGTCTTTCTCTCCACTACTTGTCAATATCATATACAGTACCTTCATATCCATGAGAAACTAATGGTGCTAAGACCATGCCTTGGGGTACCACTTAGGGTTGAGGCATGGCTGACCAATAGGGGCTCTCTATATGCAGTATTGAATATCATCCATTTTTTGGACAAACTATGTATCATGTAGAAATAAAGGATTTTAATTTGGTGTAGGATTTCCAAGGTTTTCTGGTTGTCTATCTTCCTCATTTGTTCAGTGAATGTCTCTGCAGTTGCTTGTAAGATAATGTCTAGGTTTTTATTCTCCAGTTTTATTCTAGGAACTTTCACCTTATTTGATGATTTCAAAAAGTGTGCAAATACTGTATGTGAATTGCACATAAACCTTTTCCTCCTTACTTACTCTGTCACATGTATAATAATTTGGGATCCATATTTCAGTCACAAAAAACTGTTAGTGGTGGTTTCCACAAAGGCTTGAAACATACCATTTATCTGTAAGCAGGTTATTTATATATGGAATTTTATTTTTCATCGTTTTTAATGCCATGTTTTGTACCAATCATTTTGCTGGTCATTTTAATACTGGTGAGATTGGTGGTGAATCCAGTGCTGCTCCCACTTGTGCTGTTGTTTGGGATGCTTGTTCTAGCCAGTGCATCTCCATCTCTATTATTATTACAATCAGGACTAAAATGCTAAACCCACAAAGGTCATACAGTGCTGCAGGGTCAGATGTACTAAGGAAAAAAAATCAAAGACTAAGTGAGGTAACATTAGGAGTATACAAGAGGCAAAATCAGTGGAGAACACTAAAGGAAAAATATAATCCAAGTTAGTGTAATAAAGATGTCACTGACAAAAAATCAAAGAGGGAGTCTGCATCAAAGGTGGGGCTGTCAGCTAGATTAGATACAGTGTGTTGAGGCAGTGGTAGCGCCAGAGGTAAATTCTGCATGCCCACTGATAGGCAGGACAGTCTAATAGAGGGTGAACTGAAAACAGAACTTGGCAATTCTCACAGAGTGGCACTGAGCATTTCTCCATTACCCATGGGGTAGGTTTAAAAATGTAGTGTTAGAGTGTTCAGCAGAAGTTTGTGGTTACAGGAAAGTGGGTGCGGGAGGGAAGAGGAGCGATTGGTGGAATGATGATGTAAAGAGAGTAGTAAGGGAGAAAAAGTTAGCATATGAGAAGTTTTTACAAAGTAGAAGTGATGCAAGGAGGGAAGAGTATATGGAGAAAAAGAGAGAGGTTAAGAGAGTGGTGAAGCAATGTAAAAAGAGAGCAAATGAGAGAGTGGGTGAGATGTTATCAACAAATTTTGTTGAAAATAAGAAAAAGTTTTGGAGTGAGATTAACAAGTTAAGAAAGCCTAGAGAACAAATGGATTTGTCAGTTAAAAATAGGAGAGGAGAGTTATTAAATGGAGAGTTAGAGGTATTGGGAAGATGGAGGGAATATTTTGAGGAATTGTTTAAATGTTGATGAAGATAGGGAAGCTGTGATTTCGTGTATAGGACAAGGAGGAATAACGTCTTGTAGGAGTGAGGAAGAGCCAGTTGTGAGTGTGGGGGAAGTTCGTGAGGCAGTAGGTAAAATGAAAGGGGGTAAGGCAGCCGGGATTGATGGGATAAAGATAGAAATGTTAAAAGCAGGTGGGGATATAGTTTTGGAGTGGTTGGTGCAATTATTTAATAAATGTATGGAAGAGGTAAGGTACCTAGGGATTGGCAGAGAGCATGCATAGTTCCTTTGTATAAAGGCAAAGGGGATAAAAGAGAGTGCAAAAATTATAGGGGGATAAGTCTGCTGAGTATACCTGGTAAAGTGTATGGTAGAGTTATTATTGAAAGAATTAAGAGTAAGACTGAGAATAGGATAGCAGATGAACAAGGAGGCTTTAGGAAAGGTAGGGGGTGTGTGGACCAGGTGTTTACAGTGAAACATATAAGTGAACAGTATTTAGATAAGGCTAAAGAGGTCTTTGTGGCATTTATGGATTTGGAAAAGGCATATGACAGGGTGGATAGGGGGGGCAATGTGGCAGATGTTGCAAGTGTATGGTGTAGGAGGTAGGTTACTGAAAGCAGTGAAGAGTTTTTACGAGGATAGTGAGGCTCAAGTTAGAGTATGTAGGAAAGAGGGAAATTATTTCCCAGTAAAAGTAGGCCTTAGACAAGGATGTGTGATGTCACCGTGGTTGTTTAATATATTTATAGATGGGGTTGTAAGAGAAGTAAATGCAAGGGTCTTGGCAAGAGGCGTGGAGTTAAAAGATAAAGAATCACACACAAAGTGGGAGTTGTCACAGCTGCTCTTTGCTGATGACACTGTGCTCTTGGGAGATTCTGAAGAGAAGTTGCAGAGATTGGGGGATGAATTTGGTAAGGGTGTGCAAAAGAAGAAAATTAAAGGTGAATACAGGAAAGAGTAAGGTTATGAGGATAACAAAAAGATTAGGTGATGAAAGATTGAATATCAGATTGGAGGGAGAGAGTATGGAGGAGGTGAATGTATTCAGATATTTGGGAGTGGACGTGTCAGCGGATGGGTCTATGAAAGATTAGGTGAATCATAGAATTGATGAGGGGAAAAGAGTGAGTGGTTGCAATTAGGAGTCTGTGGAGACAAAGAACTTTGTCCTTGGAGGCAAAGAGGGGAATGTATGAGAGTATAGTTTTACCAACGCTCTTATATGGGTGTGAAGCATGGGTGATGAATGTTGCAGCGAGGAGAAGGCTGGAGGCAGTGGAGATGTCATGTCTGAGGGCAATGTGTGGTGTGAATATAATGCAGAGAATTCGTAGTTTGGAAGTTAGGAGGAGGTGCGGGATTACTAAAACTGTTGTCCAGAGGGCTGAGGAAGGGTTGTTGAGGCGGTTCGGACATGTAGAGAGAATGGAGTGAAACAGAATGACTTCAAGAGTGTATGTCTGTAGTGGAAGGAAGGCGGGGTAGGGGTCGGCCTAGGAAAGGTTGGAGGGAGGGGGTAAAGGAGGTTTTGTGTGCGAGGGGCTTGGACTTCCAGCAGGCTTGCGTGAGCGTGTTTGATAGGAGTGAATGGAGACAAATGGTTTTTAATATTGACGTGCTGTTGGAGTGTGAGCACAGTAACATTTATGAAGGGGTTCAGGGAAACCGGCAGGCCGGACTTGAGTCCTGGAGATGGGAAGTACAGTGCCTGCACTCTGAAGGAGGGGTGTTAATGTTGCAGTTTAAAAACTGTAGTGTAAAGCACCCTTCTGGCAAGACAGTGATGGAGTGAATGATGGTGAAAGTTTTTCTTTTTCGGGCCACCCTGCCTTGGTGGGAATCGGCCAGTGTGATAATTAAAAAAAAATAAATAACCATAAAAGATGAAGATAATAAGATAAAGATTTTATTTCTTTGCAAGGTTACAGTGTGTACTTACAATTTTGATTTGTTACGTACAAAGAAAGCTACTATCATGCCAGAGCATTTCAGACAGATGTATCCTAGTACATACATAATAACTACTTAAGTCCAGACAAGATAAGAGTGGTAAACTTTTTAATAAATCTTTATTTTATCTTAATACTAATGTGAGGTAGTCAAGGTAGAGGTTTATAAGAATAATAATCTTGAAGCTGCACATAATAAAGACAGTGTGTGTTACAATTAATGATTCAAACAGTAATATTTCACAGATTGGCAGATGTTTTAATAGACTAGAGGTCATATAATATTTGGGAGAGTTGCTTCAAACTGGTTAAAGTTGTTTTGGTTAGTATTGAGAGATAAGATGATTTTTAAGTATAGCCCTAAATTTGTATGTTGTCAGGGGATCCTTTACCGGTACAGGTAGTGAATTCCAGATCTTCGGGCCCTTTATGTGCATTGCATTTTTGCACAGTGTGAGACTGACATGAGGGATGTTAAAGAGTGCCTTGTGCCTTGTATTGTGACTGCGTTCTGTTGTACCTATCAAGGAGAAGCGGAGGGTTTATATTGGAGTTTAATGATCTGTATATATAGTATACAGAGTTTTTATGAGGATAGTGAGGCTCAGGTTAGAGTATGTAGGAGAGAGGGAGATTATTTCCCAGTAAAAGTAGGCCTTAGGCAAGGATGTGTGATGTCACCATGGCTGTTCAATATATTTATAGATGGGGTTGCAAGAGAAGTGAATGCGAGGGTCTTGGCAAGAGGTGTGGAGTTAAAAGATAAAGAATCAAACAAAGTGGGAGTTGTCACAGTTGCTCTTTGCTGATGACACTGTGCTTTTGGGAGATTCTGAAGAGAAATTTCAGAGGTTGCTGGATGAATTTGGTAGGGTATGTAAAAGAAGAAAATTAAAAGTGAATATAGGAAAGAGTAAGATGATGAAGATAACAAAAAGATTAGGTGACGAAAGATTGGATATCAGATTGGAGGGAGAGAGTATGGAGGAGGTGAATGTATTCAGATATTTAGGAGTGGACTTATCAGCAGATGGGTCTATGAAGGATGAGGTGAATCATAGAATTGATGAGGGAAAAAGGGTGAGTGGTGCACTTAGGAGTCTGTGGAGACAAAGAACTTTGTCCATGGAAGCAAAGAGGGAAATGTATGAGAGTATAGTTATACCAACACTCCTATATGGGTGTGAAGCATGGGTGATGAATGTTGCAGCAAGAAGGCTGAAGGCAGTGCAGATGTCATGTCTGAGGGCAATGTGTGGTGTGAATATAATGCAGAGAATTCATAGTTTGGAAATTAGGAGAAGGTGCTGGATTACTAAAACTATTATCCAGAGGGCTGAGGAGGGGTTGTTGAGGTGGTTCGGACATGTAGAGAGAATGGAACAAAACAGAATGACTTCGAGAGTGTATAAATCTGTAGTGGAGGGAAGGCAGGGTAGGGGTCGGCCTAGGAAAGGTTGACGGGAGGGGATAAAGGAGGTTTTGTGTTCAAGGGGCTTGGACTTCCAGCAAGCATGCGTGAGCGTATTTGATGGGAGTGAATGTAGGCAAATGATTTTTAACACTTGATGTGCTGTTGGAGTGTGAACAAAGTAATATTTATGAAGGGATTCAGTGAAACCGGCGAGCTGGACTTGAGTCCTAGAGATGGGAAGTACAGTGTCTGCACTCTGGAGGAGTGTTAATGTTGCAGTTTCATAACTGTAGTGTGAAGCACCCCTTTGGCAAGACAGTGATGATGTGAATGATGAAAGTTTTTTTTTTTTTCGGGCCACCCTGCCTTGGTGGGAATAGGCCGATGTGTTAATAAAAAAATATATATATACGTAGTATGCACAATAATATGAGTGTATGTCTCATATATTTAGTAGATTCAGGCTTTTGTAAAGTGGTGGGGTGGGCTGTCTGGCACAGGAACTGGTAATCATCTGCACAGCAGTGAAATGTGTGTCTAACATATAATTGGGATAGTGTAGTTTCTCAAACATAAAAGCAATGATAAGACCAGAAACCCAAACAAGATTTGACAATACAATTTGTTATGGATCAACTCAGACCACCATTGCTACCAACAGTTGCAAAGTTGTCTAGAGATTACTGCATAATAATCGGAGAATGGAATAACCCTGTGTGGAGCCGCTTGTATGCGTTTGGGACAAACGCCTATTTGCAAGTCAAACAACAATTTGCAAGTCAATATTTTGATGGAAAAATGTTACGATTTGTGAAAATTATGAATTCCAATGCTTACAAAAAACGAGGGTCCCCTGTACTGCATTTTTAAAACTATCCTATCCCTCTTCAACCCCCCCCACTACCCATACTTGCACTAGCCCACCTTTCTGCCAAATAGTTGCTTTTATCTCACCCTAACTTCCTCCTCCCTTAGTTTATAAACTTTCACCTCTCTTACTTACTACTGTATAACAGAGACCTGGTTCAACCTGAAAGATAGAGAAATGCCTTCTGAATGCAATGTACAGGGTTATAAACTATTCCACACTGATAGGGTCAACAGGAAGGGTGGTGGAGTGGGGATGTATTTCAGAGAAAATTTAAATTGTTGTCTTAGACATGATATAAGATTAGAAACATCGAACACAGAATCTGTTCGGCTACAGTTTCTCGAGGGACGTGACAAATTAATTTTGGGTGTGATTTATAGGCCCCCAAACCTTGATAGGGAGTGCAGTAAGCTGTTATGGGACAAAATTCATAAGGCATCTAGATATGAAAATGTTGTGATAATGGGAGATTTTAACTTTAGACAAATTGATTGGAACAATATGATAGGAAATCTTGAATCTAGTGACTTTCTTGATATGGTTCAGGATTGCTTTTTAGAACAGGTTGTGACAGAACCAACTAGAGGAAACAATCTGCTTGACTTGGTTCTTGCCAACAAAGATTCACTAATTAATAATCTTGAGGTTAATGATGAGCTTGGGGAAAGTGATCACAAATCACTTCGTTTCAATATATCATGGAATTACCCAGATAACTGCAATCAAATCTCTGTCCCAGATTTTCGACTGGCCGACTACATGGGACTGAAAAATTACCTGGTTGGGCTAAATTGGGATGTCCTGACTATGGGTCAGGTAGGTGATCTTGGTTGCCAATATGATGTTTTTCAGAGCATAGTTCTAGCTGCCCAGACAACTTTTGTTCTGAGTAGGGAAATTAGATCTAACAAAAATGATCCCAAATGGATGAACAATAGATTAAAACATCTCATTGGTCAAAAGAGAGGCATATATAGGCATATCAAAGGAGGGGATGGGCAGTTAAGAAATAAATATATTCAATTAAAGAGAGAAATAAAGAAAGGAATAAGAAAAACAAAAAGGGATTATGAGGCTAAGGTTGCAATGGATTCAAAGACTAACCCAAAAGGGTTCTTTCAGGTATACAGAAGTAAGATTAGGGATAAGATTGGCCCACTTAAGAGTAACTCTGGTCAGATCACTGACAGTGATAAGGATACGTGTGAAATTCTCTATACCTACTTCCTCTCAGTTTTCACCCAGGAAAATACTAGCGATATTCCTGAAATAATAGATTATGTAGAACAGGGTGATAAATTATGCACGATTGTGGTAACTAGTGACATGGTCCTCAGACAAATAGAGAAACTAAAACCTAACAAATCCCCAAGTCCTGATGAACTGTTTGCAAGGGTGTTAAAGGAATGCAAAGAGGAGCTTAGCATACCTTTGCCTAATCTTTTTAACATATCACTACAAACTGGCATAGTGCCTGATAAGTGGAAAATGGCAAATGTAATGCCTATTTACAAGGCAGGTGACAGGTCCTTGGCTTCGAACTATAGACCAGTAAGCCTTACCTCCATAATGGGAAAATTTATGGAATCAATAATTGCCGAAGCAATTCGTAGCCATATTGATAGGCACAGATTGATTAATGAATCTCAACTTGGTTTT